CACACACACACACACACACACACACAGACACTCTCTCTCTCGTGCCCTCCCTCACTGCACGGACGGACAAACAGACAGACACACCCCTCCTGCTCTCCCGTTTGTGGCTCCATGCTCCAGTGATACAGCCTGGGGCCATGTGGTGCTTCAGTGGCTGGCTGGCATGCAGGGAAGTAGTTAAAATGGCTACAGGCAGAGACTGATGGTGGAGGAGGCAGGAGTAGGATGGGGCTGGAGGTGGGGTAGGGTGGGGCGGGACCAGGCCAGACCAGCACTGCTCCTGGGTCCTACTGCCCCAGGCTCCTGTCATGTTTGACAGGCAGCCAGGAGCAGATAAATATTAAATTTTCCAAAGTTTTTAGGTGCCCTGCGGCCAGACAGAATGGCCTGATGGGCCACATCTTGCCCACTGATCATCATGGACAACGAGTAAAAATATAGAAGGTGAAGATCAAAATATGCTCTTATTAAACAGAATATTCAGATACTTTAACTAGGAAAAATGTATAGAGTTAAAAAGGAAATATCAGTAAACCTTTAGTTATGACCAAACAACCCCCTGGCCTAATATTAAATAACCTGTAACCCTAAATGATATGAAAATGCACTTAATGAAGAATACTGTGACAGATGAAACATTAATATCTCTATGGAGAACCTCCTCCCCTCCCCCCATTTAGAGCAACAAAGTTTGTCAAGTCAAAAAAACTGCACTGTTTTTTTCAAAAAAATTCCAAGACAAGAAGATTCAAATTGCTACCAGATGTTAAAGCTCAATTAAGTTATTGCTTACTTTGGGGTCTTCCGGAAATATGTTATCCACCAGCCGTTTGTAACGAGGGCGCAAAGCAGCACAGCAACAGCATACTCCTGTAGAAACATTTGCCAAACAAGTTAATAAGACAATGATGGAAGGGGGGTTGGTTTTTGTCGTCGGGTTTTTTTGTTTTGTTTTTGTTTGTTTTTTTACTTTTTTTTCTTTTCTTTAAAGAGTGCTTTAAAAATTTAAAAAAAAGATTAACAAAAGGATTTACAAAAGTACAATTACTGTATTTCTGCCCTTACTTAAAATAAATGTTGGGGGGTGGAATATGGCTGTGGCAATGACCCACAGTGGTAATCAAACTGTCTCCAGAGGCAGCAAAATTGCAGCAGGCTACCACGATCTACTTAATAAGAGGGGGCAGGAAATCCAAAGTGAGGAAATATGGTATTTCTATAATAAACACTCATATGTCCAGAAATACAGAACGGATAACTGTCCTCTTTGTTGGTCTGAAAATGTATTTTTCAGAACATTAACATTTCTGTTCAATATAATATTTTAATTTAAAGTGAAAGTAGTTAGTAAATATCTTCTAATAAGCATCTGAATACTACACAGTTGTCACAACTAATGCCAGTGGCATTAAATCAATCTATTATTTGCTGTACAGTCTAGTCTAATGTTTAAAACAAACAAACACACAACTCATTCTCTGTATCACGATTTGCTTAACAAGTCACTGACAGGAAAAAAAAAAGATAACTCCGTCAGGTCTCTGATCTGCTTTACAGTAAAGGAGCAATTGAGAGGAGTACCTGGTACTCTTACCAAGTAACCGCAAAGTCTACAAACTCTCAAATTTTACCCAAATGAATACAGCAGAAGAAGAGTAGAGTGACTATTTTGCAAGCAATCAGACATCCAACAAAGCATGCCCTTTTCTTAAAACCTAACTCAAACATACAAAAAAAAAATTGCTGAAGTGAAGGCTACTAAAAGGGAACTATCCATTCCAAACCAGAGAACAGAACTAAGGTTTTCCTTCGTACAATCCTGACGTCTAGGTTAGAGGATGGAGCTGGACTGTTCTCAGTGGTGGCAGAACAAGGAGCAATGGTCTCAAGTTGCAGCAAGGGAACTTTAGGTTAGAGATTAAGAAAAACCCTCTCACTAGGAGGGTAGTAAAGCACTGGAGTAGGTTATCTAAAGAGGTGGTGGAAACTCCATCCTTGGAGGTTTTTAAGACGCAGTTTGACAAAGCCTTGGCTGGGATGATCTAGGTGGGGCTGGTCCTGCTTTGAGCAGGGGATTGGACTAGATGACGTCCTGAGGTCCCTTCTAACCCTCATTTTCTATCATTCTATTATTTACTGGAGGCATTGTTGGCAGTATGCTGAAAGTGGGTAGGCACAGACGAAGGAAAAGTACATGTCTGCAGTTGTATAATTTTACTTCAAATTAACATCTTTATGCAGCTGAAAAGTCTGTCATGTCCAGCCAGTGTCTAGGAGTTGTGCGCAACCCATCCTCTGGTTCCTAACTCAGTGGCTAGTCAGGAATTCTCTCCTCTTGTGTTTGCTACTGATGAAGGGAGCTGCCATAGCTTAATTAGGCAAGAAGTTTGATCACTATATTCCTAGTTCACTTTTTGAACTAGGTCACGAGATACCACGAGCAGCGACTGGTGCTGCAGGGGTAGCTGAACTCCCACTCCCAGCTTCTTCCTCTCCTCCTCCCACCAGGACAAGGCAGACCATGCCACAGGAGCAATAGCCAGGGACTCTTTCTAGAACTCTGTGAATCAGGTAAGAAACTCCTTTCCCAGCTCTTGGCCTCCCTTCCCTTCCCCTCAATGCTCAGTGGCTTGTCCCCTCCCATTTGTCCCCTTTTCCATCCACCACTGCTGGTGCCCCCAGCTGCCCTGGGTGAGGGGAGGGATCCAGAGCTGCTCCTGTCCTGCTCCAGCCAGGAACAGGGAGTCTCACTCAGCTGGCGACAGTGGCAGAGGCAGAGGCAGCAGGTTCCCCCTCCCTGCGCTTGCTCCTAAACTGGCAAAGAACAACCTGATGGAAGGAATAAAAAAGAAAAAATTGAAGGCAGGGAGAAAAAAAATCCATATACCGCAGCTGCTCTCCCCAGCTGAGTCCAGCTCCCTACACAGCCTGGCTGGAGCAGGCCATGAGCAGCTCTGGAGCTCCCCTCTCCGCCTCAGGGCAGCTGAAGGCAATGGGGGTGGCAAATGGGAGGGGAGGAGACATACTGCTGAGCATGGGGGTGGTATTCTTACTCCATTCAGGGACAAAGTCAACAACTGTTGCTTCTATAACACGGTCTGAAAGTGTGGAGGGGTGCAATTGTGCTCTCTGAATCCACCCCTGCTAGATACTGCCACTCTTTGCTCTCCTTTCTAGTAGAGAATTTCTCATTCAAGTCCTATTTCAGTTATGTTCATATTCGAACCATTTAATTCATATTTAGACTGAATAAACTAATTCAGACAAATTATACAACTAGCAAATGATTGTTAAATTTATGACTTTTTTTTTTTTTTTTTTTTAAAA